GTACTTTGCAAAGAAGTCACGGTGTGTTTAGGGAATCGTGAGGATTTAGATGTGTGAGGAGAAAGAATGGGAGAATATGAGGTTGGAAGGGCAAATTGGAACCACATTTGTGAAGAGTCTAAAAGATCATAATTTGGAATTAAGCATTTTGTAATATAAGATATGGGGAATAGCAAATATTTCTTTGGTGGGGAAGTAATACAATCAGATTTACATTTTATGAAAATAAGTCTAGCAAAATAACTGACAATAGATTAGAGAATTTTAAACTCATATTGAGTTTGTGCATACAGATATCCTTTTTTTCCTGTCTTTCAGTGACATAATACTTTTAAGCATAGAACTGATACAATTGATACCACCACTGCCTTTTTCTCTCACACATTTTTTGAAGGGTCACAAATATAGTTCTGAAATAATATGAGATCATGTTTTAACCAATCAAAAATGTGTATACTTCCAGCTTTTGATAATGACAGAATAGCTTGTGGGAACAGCCATTCCGCCAGCAGTATGTATAGATTCTTGGCAAAATAGAAAAGCAATAACATGAAGTATGCATTGGCACTAGAGAGCAACTAGAAGCAGGCAATCCTTTTAAAGAAGGAACCCACACCGGGTGAAATCTACATTTAAATGGCTTGACCCTGAGGGCTCCTCTACTCAACCTGGAAAATGGCTGATGGAGTGAGAACCAAAAGCAATAGGTTTATAGACTTTAGGAATCACAAAACTGAATTCAGAGTCATCAGAATGACTAGGAATTGAGAAGAGGATCCCAGAACGGGGAGAGTCACAGAGTGGGATCCCCCAGATCTATAAATGAATACCTCTTTAATCCGTGGCTGAGCCTTGAGCTGTGCTTATGCAGGGGAAGACTCAATGAAGCCCAGGAAACTGAAAAAGAAAAAAAAACAAGCTGGAAGGCTGAAAGCACTGAGCAGAGCATGCATCATCTTTTCACCGTAGGGAGACAGAGTTTAGAATTTTAGTTACAGGGAGTTGGCAAACACCTTGGGATTTCCACTGAAATCCCAGATGGTCCATGCTTTAGAGTAAGAGGACCACATCCTAGAACTAAGGGAAAAGCTGAAGTAGACCTGCCTTAACAAAGCCTACAACTAAGCCTCCCTGTTACCTGGCAGTAATTTAACTATCTGGCAAGACAAACTTCAATGCCATTTTGGCATAAGAAAATAAAATCTAAAGCCTCTCCAACATATTTGCAATGTTCTTATGCCATCAGTAATTACTAGACATGCAAAGAAATAAGAAAACACGACCCAGAGTCATATGAAAAATCAGTTAATATAAGCAGACTCATAGCTGACAGAGATATTGAAATTAGCAGACAAGGACTTTAAAATTACCATGTGAAATCTATTAACATATTTATGTGAAATGATGGATATGATAGGAGATGGGAAGTTTCAGAAGTGATGTGAAAACTGCATGAAATAGAACCAGGTGAAAATCTCAACAACTGAAAAATAAAATATCTGAAATTAAAAAAAGAATCTATTGGTGGATTTAACACAACTCAGTAATAAAAAGACAATAAAAATTAGCAAAAGACATGAACAGACATTTCTAAAAAGAATGTATATGTATATATATAGCCAATAAGCACTTGGCAAGATATTGATCATTAATCACCATGGAAATGCAAATTGAAAACACAATGAGATGCCCCTTTATGTCTACTATGATTACTAAAATTAAAACAGCTGACAAAAGCAAAGGATTGCCAAACTTGAACTCTCATACGTTGCTGGGGTATAGGTAAATTGGTATGATTATCTGGGAAAGCTGTATGTTAGTTCTTTATCAAGTAAAACATATACCAACCCAGCAATTTTACTCAGCGGTATTTGTCCAATGGAAAGCATAGAACCACAAAAGGACTTGTATAAATATGACGATTTATTCATAATAGTGAAAAATGTACATGCTCCATGTCCACTCACAAAAAATCATGGTATATTCAGCAACGGAATATTCCTCAGGAATAGAAAGACATGAAGTACTGATACATGCAACAACACAGCTGAATCTCAGAAATGTGCTGAGTGACAAAAGCTAGCCCCCCTCCTACAGCTTTCATTTGAAGACTGAGATTATGTAACAGGTAAAATTTAGCTATGGTGAGCAAAATCAGAACCTGGGCACCCTCTGGGTGATGAGAGGGGGAATCGGATGGAAAGGGGGCAGAAGAGCTTTTGGGGATGATGGAGACATTTTGTATCTCTATTGGCATCGTTGCTGCATGAGTGTATACATTTGTTAAAACTCATCAAAGCTGTACTTAAAATCGGTGCATTTGATTGCATGTGCTTTATAACTCGTAGGTAGAATTGATGGGAATTAAAAAGTAATGTAATATAGTGGTTCCACATGCCACATGCAGGAATTGAGGTAAGGCTGCCTGGATTCGAGTTCCAAAGAGAGTGAGCTGAAACGGTAAAGAGCGTGGTTGCTACACCAGACAGACCTGGGGTTTTGAATCACGTTGCCAACACTTTGTGAATGCAGGCAAGGTACTAACCTCCTCTATGCTCCTGGAAGATGGAGATTATAAAATTAGTGTCTGCCTTCTGAGGCTGTCCCTTGTATAGTGCCTGGCACATGGATGCCCTCAATACATTAAGCTGTACTCATTATCATTCAATAGCTCTTCAGCCAGACTTTCATTGCCCTAATGCAGTCAAGAATGCTGGTATAACCATGAAGATTTTGAGAACTGGATATTTACAAACTGCATTTGGCTGCAATCTAAATAATGCAGGCAATACTTGACAGCACAGGATTAAGTACACTAGCAAATCCTATGTTAGTTATCCATTTCAAACTAAGTAATGATCTCGTTGTCCAGAAAGAAAATACTCACTTTAAAATACTTTTCTTGATGCTTTTGTAAAAAAATTTAAACATAGAGAAATTAGAACCTAATATTTTTTCTTAAATAGTCTCATCCTCTGTTTCCCATCCCATAATCACTTGTATTTTGGTATATATCTTTCCAGTACATATACATGCATATGTGTGTAAGTGTGTGTGCATAATTTTGTAAGCAAAACTGTGACTATATTATATATGTATATATCAAATATATATATATTATTTTTTTAAACCTGACATTTCACTTAGAAATCTTTTCATGTTTAGGATTGATGCTGTTTACATATAGAGTTGACCTGTTCTTTTTAACAACTGCATAAGAGTTCACAGAGTGAAAATGCTATGTGAAAGAGTGAACAAAATTTATCAACCTTTTTTGTAAGAGAAAAATTGTATGTGTGAGTGTGTGGCCACGCAAACAGTGGAAGAGTGAACATGAGTGTTGAAGAGTTCCCTCTAGGTGGGAGGGTAAATGGTAGTTTTCATGGTCTTCTTGCTCCTTTTAATTTTTCATTTTTATATAAGAAAAATACTTTAAAGTTTACACAAAATTTCCACCTAAGGAGTTTAAGACAATAACTACCATCAGTGGGGTACCTAACACTGTACCAAACACCATGCTGGTGCCCCTCAAGCAGTGTATTCTTCAAATTCCATGCACAGCCTTGTTAGGTACAGCCGTCATTGACACTGATTTATAAGAGAACTGGGGCTTGAACATCATATGTCTGGTAAAGGGAGAGTCTGGATTTCAACCTGGATTTTCTGAGATACCGCAGTCTAGGGGCATCTGGAATGAGCTCATTTTGTTTTGAGGGTCTTTGAGGCCCAGGCTTCTTCTCAAAATTCACAGGTGCGCAAATGGTGATGCAGTAAAGCCCAGATGAGCTTGTTTCCCTAGGAGACGTATTCAGCCGAAAGTGGTGTCTCCATGCCAGTCAGTGGTAGCAGAAGCCACTTGTCACTAGTTAATGAGACAAGCTCCTATCCAATATCCATCTTCCTCTCAAATGATAAATGATAGTGATAATAACAATAAAATCAATGATCAATTACTTGGAGTTGTGGACTGTGGAGAGAGGGGGAGATCTTCAGACTGCTAATATCCCTGTCTGTTTTCATAGCCCAGGTGACCATTACTCTCTTTCTGTCCCTTAACCCTTTGTTTCACAGTCTTACAGTTCCTTTCCAACCAAGGGGCTCATCTGGTAACAACCAAATCTGGTGCATATGGTCTGGCACCCCTCCAGCTGTGTGGTTGCCCCCAACCCAGTCCAAAAGTTTTAATTTCCAGTGACATCAGATGTGTTTTTTCAAAAGGGGGTTCTCACTAGGCAGGGCAGGTGTGGAGAGGGGGTCGAGATGAGAGCCAGACTGTGGATGAGACAGGTGGGAGGGGGCGCAGAGCCTGCCAGTTTTGCGGAACCCAGGTCACGAGAGGGCGGGGTGGTCCTGTGGACATTGTCAAGACCTCAGCTCCCCCAGCCCATCACCCAGCCGGTCAGATGCCCCGCAGAAACGCTGCACCTGCATCATGCCAGTGAGCGGGGCAGGCACTTAGAGGTCTGGTACTCACTTTGATCGCTTTACTCTCTCAGGCTTGAGGTGACCACCAGTGTCCAGAGTGATGTTCTCACTTGCTTCTTGAACTTTTTTCCTTCTCTAACCTGTGTTGTGTTGGAGACAACACTTAACCACCTCGGAAATAGACCTGGTAGCATTTCTGTGTTAGGTGACCTTGTGACCAGTCCTGTGTTAGGTGACCTTGCATTGAGAGCTTGAAACTGGACATGGTGGGGATATTTACACAATTGAAACTAGACAATGCTACAGACCAGGGCTCCCCCACCCCAAGAGGACCTATAGTTTAATATTTAGCTGCATGCTGTTTCCATAATCCTCTGCTTCTGCGCACCACACTAACCAGATGCACAGAGAGAAAAAGAGAGAGAAGAAACCAGTGTTCGAGGGATTGAACACCTTGGGATGTTTTCCATGGGACCAAGAGGAAAAAATTGAGTTCCTTATCTCTCCCTATCCCAAATTTTACATTTATTTCCAAAAGGCTGAGTAATGGGCTCACTTTCTTCTCTCTCCTCTAGTGGATGGATGTATTCACAGAGCAGCCGGCCCCTGTTTGCTCGCTGAATGTCGTAACCTGAATGGCTGTGAAACCGGACAGGCAAAAATCACATGTGGCTATGACCTGCCTGCAAAATGTGAGTACCGCCCTCTGGAACATTGTTTCAAAATCAGATGCATTCTCTTTACCTTGTTTCATTCTGCAAGTGTGTGACTGGAAGAGGAAATAGTAGTGGTGGTATTCAATTAAATGTGCTATAGTAAGATTCTGTATATGGTAATGAAATGTGTTTTCCCGATATATATATATATGTGTATTATATATATATATATATATATACACAGACATACATATGCGCACGATGTTTAACTGTAGGTGATTTTTGTTCAGATCTTTGACAATGTCTCTGAAACAGAAAAATAAAAATATGAGCAAAATAGACATTATACTATTTAAGTGCCATGGAGTGACAGCTGCTGGAAACAATGCCAATTTCTTATTCCTCGTTCGGGTTTCTTGATTGTGGATGTGTTTGGAGCAAAGGAGATCAAAGTGATGTATTGTGTTTTCAGCTGCCATGTAAAGGCTGATTGGCAATTACAGCCAAGGCATCTGTCACACTCGGCTTTCGGGAAAAGCCAATGGAATGTGGTTGTCAGTGCGAGAATGTATGTGCTCTTTGAATGTGGAATGGTCAAAACTTCCATTATATTTGAATGGAGAGAAGTATTGCATTTGATTGACCTTGTTGCCTAGTTGTTTAGCTGATGGGGTGGGGTGATGTGGAGTAAAAATACTGAAAGAGAAGCTGGTCAAAGGCACAGGTTTTTTTTTTTATCACATAATCTTCAGGGTTTGGAGGGGGTGGAGGTAGAGGGTTTCATTGCACCATTAAGATGTGCATTGATCTGGAAATTGGGAAACCAATTAGTTGTTTATTCCATTCACTTGCTTCTTATGATCCCTCCTGGGTCTGTGAATACGTTTTATGTCAAAGCAAAGTTGATTTTTGTTTCTGTTTTAGTAGTGGAGAAAATGTGACTAAAAAATGATAGCACATTCTTTGGGCTCCGTTTGGACAAGTTGTGTAAGAATGAATTTCCCATGGATTTGTGTGAATAGAGAGCTGGTGTGATATTTTAAAGATTACTTTAAAGGCTGCTTAAATTTGAGGATTTTTAGTAAATAGTGCTATGTTAAAATGCTGCTTTTCTTTGTAAACATTATAATACTGCATTCTATATTCCTCATAGTGCTTTGCAAGTGAAAGTATACCGACTATAGGCTGTTTATTTTCTCCTTTAACTACTGCTCGTTTTGCTTCCCTTGTTAGTGTTTTTTACCTTGTGCGAAAGAGTCGAATCATGTGCCAAATGGCCCTCTCTCCTACTTGGAATGTACACTTATGTCAAAGCCCTTTGTGTGCAGTGCCGTTCAGAGCAGCTGCCTCTCTGACTCCGAGGCCCCGAATGTGAAAGGTGATTTCCCTTTCCAGGCTGAGCTGGCTCCACATTTACCAATATTGGCCATTCTTCCTTTTAACACCATACTACCTTTGTGACGTGATTGATACCACCCTGAGGACAAGCAGATTACTGATTATTTTCAGATTGGTGTCTGTCCTTAAACCAAGGAATAAGGCCTGGCCTCCTTCTGAGTCACTGCTTTCTTTCTTACCAATTAAAGTGCAAATCAATAATTCTTCACCTCTGAGATTTCTGAAGACAGATAATCTCAGAATCACTAAATATGGCCAAAACAATGGTGTATGGATTGACACAGGATAACTTTGTTGAATGTGCTCGCTCCTGTTTGACGTCCCTGTGTATCACTCATGCAGCTTAGTTCAGGGTTGCTGAAGACTTGGACGTGCCAGGCACTGAGGTACAAAGGTCAGTCATACCAATGCCTGTGCTTGAGGGCTTCCAGAGTTGGAATTCTTGGGCATCCCGGGGCAAGTGAATCTTTGTGGAACAAGGACTCTAGCTGTGGAAAGTCAGTCCACAGGACTCAGTACAGAATCTGTGTGAGCTGACATCCTGAGTCAGGCAACTCACGTTCGGGCCCCTGGGCACCAGCCCACAGGGCACATCTAGGAAAGAATCGTCCAGCAGACTAGAACTTTCCAGCCTGGAATGGCTGTGCCACCTCAAGAAAGTCACAAACATGGGTATTTGTGAACAGATCTTGGTGTATCTCTATATTCAAGAAGATTGATAATTTATTTTAAAAATGTAAAGAAAAGCGATGAAAGCAATACGAAATGAGTGATAATCACTCACATCTCCTGCATCACATTGTAGTATTTCACAGTACTTTCACAAGCCCTTATATTTTCAATTTTATTTTATAAACATTGTGTGTGTTCATTTTCCCTTTTCCTATCCCTGAGAGATGTTTTTCTTTCTCATCAATTTGGTTCATCCATTTCAGAGTCATTAACAATCCACAGATGTGCTTTTGTAGAAAGAGAATGAAAAGGGAGCTCATTACATACTGTTTGGGTCATTTTCCCCTCCATATTTAATAATTCCATGACAGTTTGACAGCAGAGCCTAGTTCCTATCTGTCCTCTGTGACAGCGGTTTTATCATTTAAGGTACTAAAGCCAGTCATCCAGTCACCAGTGATAATATCTTTGTGCATCAGCAGTTTGTTTGGAAAATGCTATTGTCTGGGTTATAGACAAACTTGGTAATTTTCAACTGGTCCTCACTTCTTTTATGTTTGCTAAATTAATCTATTCATAAGTGCTTGTATTTGAATTAATTATACTTATAATCTGTGTCCTGTGATTCATCATGATTGGTGGAATGATCAGCCTCAAAGATTTGGTGTTTCTTCACTGCTTGGATATTTTGAATGATTTCTTTTGATGTAGAATAGCCAGTCTTCTTTTCCAAAGTAATCTCAAGGGTGGAAAGGATATTGGCCAATATGTACTGATGGCTATCGCTAAGGAAAGGACCAAGGAAGCGGACTAAGTCCTGTTTATACAATTTGACATTTTGGTACCTTCTCCCTTATAAGATAAGATATTTTGGGGTGCATAATAAAAACCTAGATTTCTGTAGATTTTCAGAGGTTTGTCAACTGGTTAGATGTTTGTGTTCATGTATCATTCTACCAGATGGTCAGCTTCATATGGGTAGGTTTGTCCGTCTCAGTCACAGTTCTAGGGTCAATATCAAGCATAGCATGTCCTGAATTTGCACTGAATTAATGTGAATGAATGGTGATCACATGAATGGCTCCAGACATTTTAACCTGGCAGATGGAGTTTTACCTGTTGTTTCTACTTCTACTTCTAATTCTTTCCCTCCTGCAAGCCGTTCTGCCCAGTCCTGGCAGATTAATATTCCTAAATCCAGAGTCCTTAGAATTGTCTACAAGGCTCTAGAGGATGTGCCCCTCCTTACCTCTTTGACATCATCTCCTTCTGTCCTCTCCATTGCTCCCACCGTCCACTTGGCCAGATCTTCAGTGCCTTTGCGTTAGCATTCCCTCCGCCTGGAATTCTGTTCTTCCAGACACCTACAGGGTGTGTTCCCTCACCCACTTCAAATCCTTGCTCAAACGTAACCTCAAGTGTTACCCTAACCAACCTATTTTTAATTGCTTCTCTGCCTTATTTATATTTGTTTATTGTAACATCTAACCTTCAAATACACTGTATCATTTACCTATTTATTTTGTTTATCATCTGTCTGCCTTCAGGAATGAGCACAGAGATATTTCCAGCATCATTTTCATTTGTCGTTGTATCCATACAGCTTAGAAAAATGTTTGACACATAATAGGAGTTCAAAAAATATTTGCTGAATGAATGAATAAAATCTAACTCTGTTCCTCTCAAAAGTCTCCAGTGGGTTTTTCTTCAAACAGACTTGTTAGCCTGATTATCTTTGGCTGTCCATGATTTACTGCCCTATCTTGAGCTACTTACAACCCTTTAAATGATCTGAATTGCTCAGAATGGCATGTCTGTACACGGGGTCGGTATCGAGGGCTTTCTAGAAAACTCTGTCTTTACTCCTTTCTAACTTGTCTTCCAGACTCAGCTCAAATATCACTTCTGCCATAAGACAAGTCAGCTAAAAGTGCCTTCTCTTTCCTCAAAACCCAGAAGACTGCACGTTAACCTGCTGAGGGCACTTTTTACTTGCTACTTTTTATTGCTGTATATGCAAACTTTCCACCTTCCAGCAGTCCCTTGTGTATCATGGGTAGCAGAGAAATATCTATCAAATGAATTGATTGTTAAAGGTGGTAGTCTGGTTGATAATTGGTGGTGGTGTTGGGGGGATGTAAAAAAAAATTCCTGATAGTCCTACAAATTGATGAAATCAGTGTTAGTTATCCATGTGTTCTTTAAATTATATTGTAACAGCTAATCCCAAAGTCTCTTGTCTAAGAAATTTACCCTTAATGGACCTTATCCTAAAGGTGAACAAATAAAAATAAAGAAGCCATATTAACTTAATGGTTTTCAGCATAGCTCACACATCTATTCTATTTCTAGAAAATGCTTCACTTTTAGGCTTTAGGGCTGAATAATCATCAAAGATAAGTGGGAAAAATGTTAAACTTATGTATATAAAATGGTGGAATCTGTTTCTTTTATTCCTTCTATTTAATCTTTGTGAGACATCAAAGGGTAACCTTAGTGTCCAACTCACAGTTTTTCATTAATCATTTGAAAGGAAGCTTTAGAGTGAGAAAACATAGCATAGCATGTGTGAATATCCTATAATGGTGAGGATCAGAAGCCTTATTCCCAGGTGCAGTGATAATCAGATGATAGTAGCTTGAAAGATACTGTTGATAATAATTAGTACTTCTCTTATGCCCTTCATCAAGAAATCATAGTACTTGGAGACATCAGCTCATTAGCTCTTTTGAAATTTCCATGAGGAAGTGACATGCCAAGTAAAATTTTCTTCTAACCCCGAGAAAAATTCGGGCACAGAGAGGTTAAATCTGTTGCTCCCGGTAGCAAACTAAGTCCACAGTAGAGACACGGCAGGGACCAAGTGTTCCTGAGCTAGAGACAGAGTCTGTGACAAGCACTGGCCACAGCTCCTGCCTGTTTTTGTAAATAAAATTTTATCAGAATGTGGCCACACCCATTTATTT